CAGTCCCAACACTCCTGAATTTTGTCCCCAGGTAAATGGTTGAGCATTCTGTGCTGTGCATACTTCATAGTGTTGTTGTCCCCTCTATATACCTATCTACTGCTTGACTGAAGATTGAGGCACAAGGGTGAGTGCAGTTCCCGATTCGAAGGGTGACCAGTAATTCCGGTCTTCTTTAGGATTTTGAGTTTTGTTGCACTGTCTCCAGGCCTTCTAATGTGATTTCTTTCCGAGTAGTTGGTAGTGGTAACAAGGCAGCATGGAGACCTTCTGATCTCAGAGTCACGGGGACGGATGTTCACATGTTCTAGTCATCATTGGACTGACTGTTTCCAAGTGTCTTCAGTTTTCATCACTCTTCTTTGCTCTGCATACAGAGACCAACCTTAGAGGGCCACTCATGAGCTTTAAGAGCCCAGCCACTAACCACCAGAGTAGGATGTAGAACATTGTGTTTGTGGACTTCGGTGTGCCAGCTGACCATGGTGTCCTGAGCCCCCGGGGCCAGCTACGCATTCCCTCAAGGTATCTGATAAGACCTACAGTTTTCAGGTCATATGGATACTTTTTAAATGAAGCCATGTGCTCAGGGATGAGTGCTGTTGGGGCTACAGAATAAGTACTGGACTGCTAACTGCAAGATCAGAAGTTTGAGTCCACCAGTTGCTCCATGGGAGAAAGATGAGGCTTTTTGCTCAAGCAAAACAGCCTTGGAAATCCTGTACCGGGTCGCTCCGAGACAGTTACAATAGCATGCTAGTGGGTAGCAGCCATTAAGTTGTGTGCCACTCTGGTATTTCACTCAGTTCCCTCAGAGCAGTGGTCTCAGGGAATCCTCCAGTCTCATCGGGTCCAACCAATCCGAACTTGGCAAGAATTTGAGTTCTCGCCCATGTTTTCCCCCATTCTGTCAGGGTCCACCTATTGTGGCCTTGATCAGAGCGGTCAAGGAATAGTAGCGGGGCACCATCTAGTTCTTCTGGTGTCAGGGAAGACGAGGCCATGGCTCGTGCCGATGGCTTTCTTCACAGAGATGTTGGTTTCCTTTTTCTCCTGATGAGGAGAGACTAATACTTATGAGCCCAGATGACACACACCTCACTCGGATGTAGAAGGTGAACCCTGTGGTGCCAATTGACTGAGCTGTCCAGTAAGATTAAGGCCCTAAGCCTTTAAACCCAGAGACCCTATCGTGCAAGGTATTTGGTCATATCTGACAAGGATTTGTAACTGCGTCCTCTATGAATATGTGCACATGCATCTGTTCCCATAAATGTAAGTACTTAAATCTGAGCACACATTTGTACCCACCTGTATATCGCCCCCCCCCCCCACGCCTATTTACCCACTGGGACTATATATACCCGCTGGTTCTGTGCCCTGTACATGCTAGCTGCCTAGGCTCCCCAGCGTTTGAACAACTGGGGGGCTCACCTCAGCTCTGCTCCACTTGCTTCCTGATGCCTGAAAGGTGCTCCTCGGCACTCTGCCTTAAAGGTTACATGCATGTTGGGCAGGTCATGAAAGCCCCATCCTAAAGGGTCAATGAATCGCAGAGCGTCTGCTGCTGAAGAAAGCCTCTCTGTCCACTACCCTGAAGTCTCATCTCACTGCCTCAGTGGGTCAGGTTTCCCCTTCTCTGCAGCCAAACAGGTGGTTCTTGGAGGGGTTCTGAGCTTATCATTCAGATATAAGGAAACCCTGTGCTTTGAAATATGGAAGACCAGGGAGAAGTGGCTGTCCAGCATGTGAGTGTCCTAGTGCCGTTGGAACAGTACCACCGAGTCAGGGCTTCAAACAGAAATGGATTGTTCTCAGTCTGAAATACTGGTGTAGCACTATAGGATAAACACTGGACTGCTAGCCACAAGGTTGGTGGCTCAAACCCACCAGTTGCTCCTTGGAAACCCTATACAGGGTCGCTATGAGTCAGAACTGACTCGTCAGCCCTCAGCAACCACCACAACAGTCTGGAAGTCAGTGATCCGAGATGGGGTTGTTGGCCTAGCTGTTTCCGCTGAGGCTCTTGTCTCTCTTCCGGCTCCTGGTGGCCACCTTTGTCCCTCACTCTGGCATCTACTTGTGTGGAAATGAGCAGTCTTTGGTTTTTGGCAGCACACCCACTGTGTTCCACACGGTTCTCTACTCCAGTCACATTGCCAGTGTCAGGTTCACCACACAGTCTCCTGACCCATGCAGCCACCGGAGCAGATCCTGGGTCACTCTCCCAGCCCCAAGACAGCCACTGCTCAGCTCAGGACAGGTGCTGCAGGCCCAGCTGAGGCCCTCCATGAAGGCCACACACAGACACTGGCTCTGGCCTTCCAGAAGCGAGATGTAGGGTGGGTATCTGCAACTCAGGTTCCTGGTCCCTCCCACCCTGAGGGCATGGGGAGGGGGGAGGGCTCCTGTTGCCTTCAGTGAAGGCAGTGGACATTGCCTGGGGAAAGAGCTCACACTGCAGACTTGGTTTTCCTATTTTCAAGCTCTGACTGTTTCTAGAAACATGGTTTCTTATCTCTAAGGTGTGAAGTCAGTCTTCCATGTACACAGGTGTAGGCAGATGGAAGCCTGACTCAGCACTGATACATACATGATGTGTCCATCAACCTGAAAGCCACTACCCAACCCACCGTGCAACACGGGGCGGGGCTTCCTGTCCTTGAGGGCTGTGCTCCCCTGGGGGCTCTTTTGCCAGCTCAGTCAGTGTCTACTTCATGGGCGGGGCCACAGCCAATGTGCTGTGTGTGTGAGCAGGGTGGGTCTAAGCACAAGCCTACAGGCTTGTCCCGCCGCCTCCTCTACCTCTGAGCTGAAAGTGGGGTGTCCTTCCTATGTCAGAAGTCCTGGGAACAATATATGAGTCAAATGATCCTTCCTTCTGATCCTGAAGCTGAGTCCTCCCTTGGGTGGGGATGGGTGAGCATGCCCATGCACCTCTCAGCAGGCTCCTGGTGTGACCTCATAGGAACACCTGAGCTGGTACCTGACTCCTGCCTGACCACAGGACCAAACCCACATGGAGGCCCCTCCAAGTGGGATTGCTGGGACAGTCACAGCCTGAGGCCTGCTGCACCTTCCCAGGCTGTTTGGCTCTGGGACACTATTTAAGGAAGTGCTTGCTCCAAGGGCTGGACAAGTACAGGTCAGTCTTGTGAGTTAGGCACTAGGCCTCTTGTCCCTGTTCCCTCTTAGCAGAAGACTCCCAGTATAAGCAAGAAGGCCTGAGACCAAGATCAGCTCCCTCACGCCTGGTGCTGACCCCAGCCCACTCAGCCTGCATGCTGACCAGGGAGAACCAGGAAAGCCTCTGTGGACCCTGCCCAGGTGGATGGAGAGCTCAGGTCTCGCCTTTCCCAGAACCTGCAGAGGATCCTGGGTGACAGAAAGCAGGCCCCAAGCCCTGAGGGGCGGTGCCTCACAGCCTTTATGCAGAAACAGCAGGCTAGTCCCAGCAGGCTCCCTGGTGCCCCTCCCCCTCCTGGGAGCTAAGGAAGAGGTGGGGAGAGAGGGTCAGGGATGAGCCAGTGCTGGGCGCTCTCCTCCAGCTAGGAAGTGTTGAGGTCTAGAAGGGAGGGATGACAGGCAAGAACACGAAGACACAGTGTGGGGAAGCCCACTGCCCTCTCCAGGGATCTGTGCCTGCCATTAAAGCATTGTTAGTGCTGTGAGATCAAGTGCTGGACCCCAAAGTCAGCAGTTCAAACCCACCAGCCACTCCTTGGAAACCCTATCTATACAGGGTCACTGTGAGTCGGAACTGATTTGATAGCACTCAACAACAACAAAGGTGCAGGAGTGAGGTGAGGAGAAGGGGAAGACAGGGCCGAGGTAAAGCTTTCCTCAGAAGAGCACTGACCGAGGGAGCCGAGAGGCCAGGGCAAAAGGCTGACCTTCTCTTTATCCCCCAGTGACCCCAGGCAAACATCTCTTCATTCTTAGTGGATCAAGGACCAGTCTTTGGGTGGCACAAATGGTTAACACACTCAGCTACTAACTGAAAGGTTAGAGGTTCGAGTCCATCCAGAGACACCTTGGAAGAAAGGCGTGTTCACTGAAAACACTCTGGAATGCAGGTCTGCTCTGACACACGTGGGGTTGCCAGGACTTGGAATCAACTGGGCTCAAGGGACTGGCCTAGGGCTATACTTAGCGGCCAGAAGCAACCTGCCCTGTCTGTCACACCTCCAGGCTACTAGTCAAGTCAGACGCACAAAATCACAGCCAGGATGGGAACAGCTGACTGCGCGCCAACTCCAGACACAGTCAGAGACGGACTTCTGCCAACCCGAGCTGAGCTGTCCGGTCCTGCAGGGTCAGGTCTGTAAACAAGTCTGCTGCTGGGCAACGACTAGAGACGCCCCACAGGAAACGAAAATCAAAGCCCACGACTGGCGTCCGGAAAGACATCGGAGATCTATTTCAGATTATGACATTTTACTTTCTGTTTCCCTCCCCTCTCCTGAGAGCAGAGCAGCGCCCTGAGACTCAGCGGCCGAGTCCTGATTTGCCTTTGAGTACCACACTCTCGTAACCAGTTGTAGAGAAAAACGCTGTGGTACATACAGTGCGTGTTAGGGACACTGGGCGCTTGTTCTACAGGACATACAAAAGTTAGCAAAGGGCCAAAAGGATGAGAAGGTCCACGCTTCCCACGCCTAGGAGCCTTCAGTTGGGCAGGAGCGGAACAAGGATCAGGTTAAGACAGCGGCATCGCTTGAGGCTGGCTGCTATGGCCAGAGCTCGAACGCTGCAAAGACCACGAGTTTTGGGAGTCCCTCAGGGCAAACTTGGGACCTACAGGCCTGGGGATGGAGGGCGTCCTTCGGGAACTGCCTCTTCCTCGCCCCACCCACGGGGGCTGAGCGGCGGGAATCAGCCCCCCGCCTTCCCGGGCTCCCACCCGACGCGCGAGCGGCCTTGGCTCCTTCCAGAGCGGCTGCTCTCACACGGCGGGCCGGGCACCCTCCCCGTCTTCGACAGGCCAGCGGCCCCCTCACCGGGCTCCAGCAGATGAGCGCGTCGGTGTCCGGGTCGCTCACAAGGGTCCATAGCTTGGTCAGGAACGCCGGGACGTTGCTGGGCCCTGCCGCGCCGGGGCCCAAAGGGAGATCCATGTCGGACAAAGCAGGGAGGGACGGGGGTCAGCGACCGAGAGCAGAGGCCGAGGATCCGGCTAGTGTAGTCGCCGAGCCTGCCGTCCGCGCTGCTTCGCCGCAGCCACTCTCTGCGCACACACAGCCCCGGGGCCTAGCATGGCCGCCGCCATCTTGAGACGGGCGCGCTCCCGCTGGCACCGCCCGCCGGGGCGCGTCCCCAGCGGCGCGCGCGCTGCCGGCATAGGCCCCGCCCCGACCGCTGTGCGCCTGCGCAGAACGGCCCTGCCTCATCAAAGTGGGCGGGTGGGGGAGGCCACGCCCCCGCAGACGCACGCGGCTTGTCGCTGCCGGAAACTGTCGTTTGAGCGGAGCCGGCGCACGGCGGAGCATGGCGGGAGCTAGGCGCGCGGGGTCCGCGGCGGCAACGCGGTCGCAGTCGGGGAAGCGGCCCGCTGAGCCGGAGCTGGAACTGGAGGAGGTGACAGCGGGCTCAGGCCGGGGCGGCGGGCCGTGGTGCGCACTGGGGCCGGGACACATCCCCAGTTTATGTGGTACCTACGTAACGCGTGGTGACTCGTTGCTGCCTCTGATTCGGCGAGGGACCCTCCCGGCCGGAGCAGAGGCTGCGCTGAGAGGTGGCTCCAGGGCCGGAGAAGGTTTGGGAGATGAAGGTTGGAATGGAATTTTCCTTGAACGGAAAGGGTATCTGTGTAGGGCCACTGGATCTACACTTTGCCGTCAGCTGCCTGCGGTTCAGTACTAATTCCATAGCCGGTGCGGAAGGCCGGGCTCTAGTGTCAGATAGCATTCTCTTACCAGTGGCCGTTCATGCAAACAGCCAAGAAAGTGTGTGTCTGGGCTGTGGCTGGGTGCGCGGAGTTGAGTCGTGTAGGGGTCCAGGAATCCAGGAAAGGTGACTTCTGGTGGTGGTGGCATCACGGGAGGGGTGACAGATAGTCTGGAATCGGGGAGCAGTTCTATGGGGCTGGAGGACAGTGTCTAAGGAGGAGAGAAACAGGAGGAGGATGGGAGTGGAGCAGGGACCATCTTGACATTCTGAACATTTCAAAAACCGGGAAAGGGACGCTACTTATGTACAAACACTTCGTGGGATTTGTTTTTTTTTTTTTTTTTTTGGTTTGAGAGGATTCATCGACCATCCCAGATCATTGTTTATTGCTTTTGTAGTAACTGTCGTTTTAAAAGCTTGCAAGTTACTGTCTACTCCACACTTGGTCTCTATTTCCCGGGATCAGCAGATTGAGGAAGGCCTCAGGAACAGGAGGAGAAAATGCCCTGTGTGTCTAAATCTCCTCCTTGAACAAAACTTTCTTTGGCATGAAACCAGAACTGAATGGGGTGAAACTTTTGAGCAAAGTTCTATAGAAAAATCTTGATTCAAAGGAAGAAAATACAAAATAGAATTTCCAAATCTCATGTACTCTAGACTTTTGGAGTCCTGGTGTGTGGCGCTGTGGGTTAATGCGCTGGACTGCAAAGTCCAGTTTAAACCATGAGGTCACCAGTTGCTCCTTGGAAACCCTATACAGGGTGGCTATGGGACGGAGCCAACTCGGTGGCACTTAATAACAACTAGACTTTTTAGAGCCATGGAGGGGGGTAACTCTCTGAAACCATCGGCCTGAGAGCACCTTCAAACCATAAATCTTCCCTAAAGTCTTAAAACCAAGCAGCAGTTAAGCTTAACCAATTAAACAAAGGTCTTGCTGGAGCGTTATGCTCTTTGAAGTTATGTAGTTGTGCTGAAGGATATAAACTAGGCTGCTAAACACCAGGTCAGCAGTTGAAAGTCTTTGCTGGAGAAAGATGAGGCTGTCTGCTCCAGTGAAGACTGAGTCTCAGAAACCCTACACGGGACTGTTCTCCGTTGGAGTTGGGTCAGGAGCGGTGGGTTTGGTTTTTGGTTTGGACATGGGATCAAAGTGACAACAGCAAGTCAAAGATTAGATAGGAATCTTAGAGGACAGTGAGTTTCTTTTAATCTTAGGTGAACAGCTCAAAAAGAGGGTGAAATGGTCGCACACTCAAAGAATGGAATCCGTGGCACTGAATTGCACAGGTTGAATCGGTTGATTCCGTGTATGTTTTGCTGTGTGTATTCTCAACAGTAACAGATGAATGAAAACAAAAAAGAACATTTGACCCTGCTCCTCAGATAAACACCTATTAGTATAGTTGGCTTTTGAATAATGTGTGTTAAAGGGTTAAGGTTACACAATGTGAGCCATGTGTGTAACCCCCATACAGTGGAAATCCAAGTGTAACTTTTGACTCCCTAAAAACTTAACTTCTAAAAGTATACTGTTGGATGGAAGCCTTCCTGAAAACGTAAACAGTAGATTAACACATGATTTATACATCATGTACTCCGGAGACTTGGTGTGACACTGTAGGATAAGTACTGGACTGCTGTGCACAAGGTCAGTGGTTCAAACCTACCATCCGCTCCTTGAGATCCCTACACAAGGTCAGTAGGAGTTGGGACTGACTGGACAGCACTTAACAACAATTATATACTGCATTCACGTAAAAGCTGTATTTAAAATATGAGATTAGAAGGTATCTTGTCAAAAGTGCGACGTTTTCATGCTGTACTTTAGACGTAGCTGTAGCAATGGCTTCACAAATTTCTTCTCTGATTTTTACAGTGGTCCATAGAGTGGATTCGTTCTTTTTTTTAAATGTTTTGTTGTAAATTATGTGATAGTTTACTTGGAGAACATTAGGTTTACTTTCATCCTATCGTATATCTTTCATTGCTGTTGCTATAATCCCCTCCATGCATCACCAACCAACCACAAGGTATACTCTGCAAGCCTGCCTCCCGGTTGGGTTGTCAGCACGCAGCCCCTCTCCCTCTCTGGGTCTAAAGTCCCCAGCGGCTCCATGTCTCCATGAATGATGGTCTCTGCCTCCATCTCATGCATCACTGCTTCTCTGGATAGGGTCTTGCTCTCCACTCTTCTCCCTTCTTGGTCCTAGGGACCTCCACTCCTAGATTGCAAAGTCAATCACTCCCCTCCTTTTGCTACAAAATGTCTGCCTTACATTTCTAACCCTCACAATCTGTCCTAATAACAATTATTCAATATTATATCACAAGAGACCCGTCCTCATCTACTTTCATCAGCCCCGCCCAGACAGATTGGATACTACTCACTGGAGAGTCTACCTTCCTCCACGCCCTCTGGATCTAGGTTCCCTCTTAAAAGCTTGTAAGCCAGTCACTTCTTGCCTTTGTAGGCCTCCCCTGCCCACCCCCACCCCCCCAATTTTGGGTAGCCAGTGTCCAAGTTGCTCATCCTTGTCTACTCTGTAGGGAAGGAGTGGGAATGATCCTTGCTGTAAAGATTTGTTCCCTTTTGAGCTACTGCATCCATAGGTGTAGGTCAAGTTCATCAAATTGTATCAGATTACTCTTTTTTTCATCTTCTTTCCTCTTCTAGTTGAGCTCTGATCATCCAGTCATTGAAGCCAGGTCAAGTGGGTATTATCTGCACGGATGTATGTTCTTGTGCATATGCGCTCTCTTCTTATCAGCTGGACACTTCACTCTAGTTCTCTGTGGATATGTCACTGACTCTGGGCCCAAGAGTCCCCAGGTCTTGCCACACTGTTGTTGGCCGACCAAGTCTCCACCTGGGTTCACAAGAGTCTGTTGAACGTTGTAGGGCTTAGCTCGCAGCTTCATTGCGGTTTTTCCCTCACTTCCCCTTATCGGTGACGAACGTTGTCACCAATCAGAGCGTGTATTCCCATTGAGTCTTTGTCTTGGAAGGGGGTTTGCTCTGAGGGGACCCGACCACTAGCCTTGATGTCTCCTGGGCGAGCAACTTGCTTGTTCTTGTAGTAATCAGTTGATCTGCCTATATTGTATTGTATTTTCCTGTGGGTCTTTCTTTCAAGAAGTATCTTCTGCTCTAGCCACTCCAGGATGGTCTGCTTGCCCTTTCAAGTGGAAATTTCCCACCTCTGAAGAATCTGGATGCAATTCAGGATTCCACCAGTGGTCTTCTGTAATGCAGAGGCTCCACAGGAAGCCTCCTTCACTGGGCACATTGTGGCCCCATTTTGGATATTCCAATTAGTTAGAGGCAGACGCCCGACTTTCAAGCTTTCTACGGTGATATTTCTGGCTATTCCTTTCTCTCTCCTTCAAGTGTCTTATTTTATAATGGTATGCAAGGGAAACCAAGATTCATAAGACTGCCAAGCATCTTAACATTATTTCCCCCCTTTCCCCCATTCCAACCATGTCTCAATCCCTGTATCCCAGAGCCCTGTTGTTCCTAGGTTGTACATACTTCATTATTTACTTCTGCCCCACTTAGGCCATGCAAACCTGTCTAGTTGTTTTCCCGTCTGCTTTGTTCTTCCATTCCCCTCCCTCTTCTTGTGTATTGCCCCCTCCTTAGCACCCAAACTATCCTGTGTCTATTCCCTGCCCTGTGCTCCACCTTCCTTCCCCTTCCTCCCCTCACCCCATACCCACATCCCGCTAACCAGCTAAGAATCCCCCCCACATACACACATACCTTTAGGGTGGGTTCTTTTTCTTAGTCTTTTACAGTAGTGGTCCTATGCAGTATTTCTCCTTTTGTAACTGACTAATTTCACTCAACATAATGTCCTGAAGGTTCATCCATGTTATGTGGTGGCTTCCAGCTTCCTTGTTATTCTACAATGTAGCATAATATTCCATTGTGTGCATGTACCACAGTTTGTTTATCCATTCTTCAGTTGATGGGCACTTTGGCTGTCTCCATCTTTTTGCTATTGTAAATAGTGCTGCTATGAACATTGGGGT